TCCTGCTGTGCTGGGGCTGCACATCTGAACGCTGACGTCTGCAATCTCCTGGGGCTCCAGAGACCTGACCATCACCATGTTTACGTGGCCAAATTGGTCTCCCCCGACATACTTCAGACAAACCCCCGGGGGCCACGCCTCTGTCCCTGGGATTAAACAGAAGAAAGAATTACTGACAGTGCACCAGGAAAAGCTTTGTGTCTGTTTTTGTAAGACTGGATGAAACATGCTTATTAAAACAGTTGTGCAATTGTTGAACAGTCAAAGGAATACCAAGATACACATAAACACAGCCAGCAATGGATGCTGAAGAAGAATACAGTTTTCAGACAAGGCTTAACTGGTTCATTTAGAGACCAGCGGGACAATTTATATTTCTATTTGAATAATCTCTAGGTCTTCTATACACAGAAAAATTCTCAAAGTCACAGTGTAACAGCTGCAAAAAAGAAAACCACAAACAAAAAATCAACATTACTGGCACACACATGTATTTTACCAATGCTAGAGACAAAGATGAGGTCAGACCTAGACGGGATTTCCCTCCCTCCTCTCATTTCTTTCTGCCTCCCTACATGTAGCTCCTGAGCCTTGCAACTTCAAAATACATGCTATTAATACAAAGTGCTGGAAACAATTTCTTTCAGGGATTCATTCTTTTTCAAGCCTGTTGGCAGTCTCAGGAGGAACTAATAGTTTGAACTATAATCAAAGAGCTAGTACTATTTTCTAAACGGATTTATTTCCCTTCTTGCACCAGCCCTTCTCTCAGCCTTGGGCAAAGGTGGAAAGGACTGTGAACATATGATTTATTTGTGGAGATCAATGTTTAGACTGCAGATACTGGGACTGACAGCATGACCTGGCAATCTGTAGAGATACAGAAAACAGTTACTGCATGCAAGCACAGCCACCTCCGCCAAAGACAACAAGTACTGGGGCATACAAACAGAAAAGTGCTTCTGAGACTCATGAAAAATCAGTTTAGCAGAATATTTTTTTTTTTTTGCTTTTGTCCCCAGTAACACGACATGACTAAGCCAATGACTTTGAGAATACCTTCTGCGTGGCTGAGGGTGATGGAAATGGCTAAGGAAAGCCTGAACCACCAAGAAGCTTGGAACCACTCCATGCCTAGTCTGAGGCGAGAATGGTGGATGCTGATCTGACCTTAGATTACCCCATCCTCTGCAACAGCTTGCCTGCTAATTTAATTCCTGTGCATACTTCAGTCAAGACATGGCAGGGACTGGTTTTATAGTCAAGTCCTTATTTGTGGAATTCACAATCCAGCAGGGAAAGCATGATGTGAACAAGTGAAGCGGGATATTCAGAGTAGGGGATATATCACTACAGTTGGAAACAGTGCTGAGATAGGGAGGTCTCTGAAAGAGGAGCTGAGTGACTAGCTGACCTCAGACTACGGCGTGTGGGAGTTGAGTATGAAGTCTCATCTGAAAAGGTTAGCAGCCCAGCAACATGGTTTAGTTTAAATAATTCATGTGATTTTTATCGCTTTTAATGGCTGTAGGCTTGCAAGGTGCCTAGAACACTGCAACTGATAAGCCCCATAAAATGAAATGATGATTATGTCATTCTATTTCAGTACACTCATCTCTCGGGAGATGATAAATTGTTGTAACTGTCCTGCAGAGCCAGCAGCAGCTGGGAGTAGAGTGGGAAGAGGAAATAAGTCTGCTAAATCCTGCTGCTCTTTCAGCACTGGTTCTACTATACAAACTGGTCTTCTGGCAGACAAGCCAAGCACCGTCCTGGAAGGTATCAGAGCAGGGTATTAGTTTTTAATAACACATACGAAAACTCGACTGAACCTAGCTTACTGCTTGCACGCTTAAAACTGACAATCTCTCAGAGCTCTGCTTGTCATACTCGTCAGACACTAAACACTTCGGTGACACATGCCTCAGGTATTTCGTGTTCTAGAACTGCAGTCATTTAATCAAGGGTTCCTGTAGAGCTGTTAAAAACCTTGGCTTTGCTTCAGTTATCTACTTAACAAGCAGATATTATCTAGAAACACTATAGTCCTTTGATAGTATACATTAATTAAACTATAAAATGGTTTTAAAATTCTATGGTCTTCCTTAAAACTGCAGAATAAATGCAACTTCATATACTGTGTTGTTAACTAAAACATGCCTCAACAGCATGGTTTTTACAAGATCTGGCCTCCGGCACCACCGTTGGAGTACAGATGTACGTTTTAGGAAGTCAGGCTTTAACCCACACAGAAGCCAAAACAAATGTTGGCCTTGCCAGGAACTCGTAAGTCAAGATTAACTCCCTTTCCTCATTTTAGAAGGCCCATGGCTTTCAGGAGGTCAAACATTCCAAGAACAATGAAACATTGCTTGAACTAGAATGTTAAATTAAGGCTGAATTTGCATGCAAGAAAGAGTACATCAGAGGAACAAGAGAGGAAAGAGTCTGAAAGGAGCAAGACAGGGGTGTAGTCACAACACAAGCAAATTAAGATACTAATAGTGGAGAAACAAGACCTGTCAAACTTACTACATTTGTAAGACCTGTATTTGAGATGGTTATAAAAAAATTGCCAGTCAATTTTTCACATTACTGGAGTTTAAGCAAGCTATACGTGTCACCTTTCCATTGTACTAAGTCAAACAAACGGAGGCAGAAAAAGTAAACTGAAATAACGAAGCCCTTTCTCTAGGATACAGTCTCTATAAATTAGTGTTCTTAAACACACACACAACCCTTCTCACCTCTCATGTCCTGATGAAATACTCCTAGATTTTTAGTATAGTTTTAGTCTCTGTTATACTTTTAATATTCAGCACAAATCTGTACAGCACTCCAGTACTGCAGTTACTTAAAAGCAGAAATACTAACACAGCTGAACTTTACTCATGATGATTCATGATATTATACCTTGTTGCGCTGTCATTCTTCTTCACAAAAGTGCAAGCAGGTCAATTAAATTCAGACACACAGCTTAAACATCCATGCAACGTCCTGTCATTTCAACACTTGAAGACAAGGTATCCTGCTTTGCATCCATGGATCTCCTTTTTCTCTCTGACTACATCCCAACAGATCAAGCACTGAGAATGTATTTTGCCTAGTCTCACTTCCTGGATTCCAGTCACTGTTTTCACTTATTTCATACTGGAATGTGGTCTCTCCAGCCTTGCATCCTCTCAAAGCATGAAAAAACAATTCTGTCAAAAGTGTATTCAAAAGAAAAGGGTACCTGTCACACTACCCTTGCATCGCTACCTCTTCTCAGAGTTAGCTCACTGCATCACTGCCTCCACAGAGAGCTGAATGACCAAACGACAGGGACAGTCAGAGAAATGGTGCGATGAAGGCTGGTGGTAATATACAGGCTGGTCATGAGCTAAAAGGTTTTGAGATTAAAAGTGATCTCTTCATTGACTTAAAAATGTATTCCATTTGTTTGCATCAAGGGATCAGAAACATGATTAGCTAATGATTCTTGATCTATTTTCAGATCTAGCTACTTACATTAAAAAACCACAACCCAACCAACTTGTACTTCAATTTCTTTTATCTAGAAGTTTCCTAGAGTTTTCGTTTGTGTGGTGGCACAAGGACCAAGACGGGTGAACTGAGCTGCACACCTCGCTACAAAAAGTTTGTGCCAACGTGAGAAGGGGAATACGCACAGGTTGGTAGGCTACCTCCTTCAGTAACATAAGGTGGCTCTATTCCAAGTTCAAGTGCACACAAACCTCCTGCCTTAAGCCAGCATCTCTCCCATTAGATCCGCCATCCTATCACCTAATACATGCTACATGGGTTTTGCTGCAGCCTAAAAGCCTTACCTGTGTTTTGTATCCTCCATGTTTTTGTAAACTGGGTATCAGGTGGGATGGACTCTCCTTCACCTATGGTGACATCTTCAACAAAGGACATGGAGGGTACATTGATGTTTGGACTCTCGAAATCATAGTAGGCTCCAATGGCGGCTTGTAGATTCCTAGAAAGCAAAAAAAGCAGATTACAACCTAAAGTACAGGTGGGTCAGGTCCTTTTCACAGGTTTATGTATGCCATCCTAAACAGTTAAGCAAAAATATTATCCAGACTATAATAGCTCTGCTGCTCATGCTTTTTTAAAGCTTTTATCTTTCTCACACATGGATTCTCCAAGATAACAGAGCTCAAAACATAACATTTTACTTGCCAAGGACACTATTCTAGACAACTTTTCTACTCTGCTTATTTCCACTGGAAATCTTGGGACTTACAAGTCTTGGAGACCTCTACCCCATTAGCTCTTCATGAAATTTGCCAAAAAGTTCAAGAGATACCGAGGGAAGTGCTACACAGCAGCATACAAACAACAAGGCAGTTTTTTTTATACCAGCCTTGTTTCCTAAGCTAATTTCAAAAGGACTGAAACCCTTCTTTTTATTTTGGCACAAAAGGTCCAAAAGGAGCACAAGATGAACAAAACACAGAGAACGTTCTTATGATAACTCTCAGGGCCAAAGGGCATCAGTAGCTACAGATAATAACTCAAGCTTTGCTGCTTTTGAAACATATGGCCATGTATGAGCCACAAGTACTCTAAAAGAATTTATTAATCATCGAAGTGCCTGCTTAGCTCTGGATAGTCACAACTCAAAGGAACTTATAAACCACCTGAGTCAAAAGTTCTTACTGAATAAAGACAAACGGCAGTGGAAGTCTGTGATATATTAAGGATGTTCAGAAAGCCACAAATGCTATTGATTCCCGAGTCGTGGTGTAGCTGAAAGTCATATGATAATGAATTTGAAGAGAGGAACAGTCAAACAGGAAGAGGATTCATGAGTCTTAGCTTCCGTTCCACGATATACTATTAAGTTATTATGTAAGCGTTTGGCAAGTCATGTAAATCCTCTGTTTATGCACGTCTGTGAGGTTGTGGCCTTAATTTACATGTTGTGAGTAGGTACGGTGAGAATGGAGATGAGTTAAGTCTCGCCAAAAGCAATGGGCATAACAACTGCTTTTGATTCATGATTACAAAAATCCATGTTGCTTTTTTGAGCAGGATAGAAAAAAAAAACCCAAACCTTCAAAAACTGGGAACCAGCATCTAAAACAAAACCATGCAGAAGGCTAGTCAGAAGCTGCACTACACAGATACAGTGATATACTGAGGGTTTGTATTGTGTGGTGGAGTGTCATGTGCCTAAACCAAAGCCAGAAAGCCAAGGTGAAAGCAAGAGAAACATTTGCAGTATGACCCTGAGAAAGAGCAAACATAGGGCTTTTTGGACTGCTTGCCAGCTGGAAGGAGGCTCAAAACAGTGAGCAAAGAAACTGCCTCCTGTTCAATTCCTACAGTGTTCAAGGAAAAAAAAAAATAAAAATCAGACATTCCAGATAAAATCAGAACTGCATGGGAGAAGTATCACTGCTTTCTCCTCACCGAAAACGTAAGGGACCCAAAGCGTAGTAGCTAAGAGCACCGGAGCTTGGGCCAAACAGGGCAATAGCAGTTATCAGTCAGATCTGCGAGCCACCCGTGATGGGGACAGGTGGGAGAGGACCTAAACAACAGATGCATCAGTTTGGTAATCCATCACGAACAACAGAAGATAATTACGCTGTGTTAACCACAGGAGTTACTGACATCCTGCTAAGTCTCCCAGAGCAGGGCCAAAGCGTTAGGAGGCACTGGAGGAATGCTCTGCACAACATGGCCACGGCAATCGATTGGCAAATTCAGCAAACTGAGCCTTACAGCGAGACCTTTCGCCATCAACACGGAACGGACTTTGACACGAAGAGGAGACAAAAGAGCCACCGTGTAAGATTTCCATGTTTCAAACAATGAATTTCAGACCAGAACCATTATTCAGCGTGAGGCATTTTCTACTTAGGAGTGTCAGGGCTATATTTAATACAGCCAGCTCAGTCAAATGCTACAGGAAGGGTGCATGTCACATTAGCCAATAAATAGAGACAAATGCTCAGTTTTACGTCACCAACCGCCTGTTGCTTATACACTGCACAAGATTTACATAACTCACACCAGGGCTGTGCCAAGAGACTCCTGTTCGCTCAACCAGCTAACACTATGATCCAGAGTTTAGTTTTCACTAGGATTTCTTCCTGTATTACAGCAATCCAAGGCAAAAGGTATTCTAAGAGCTACAAAAGAGAGCAATACAGCTCTTTCTCTTCCTAATCCGCTACTACATAAATACATTTTCAGACATACCGCAATGTCCTGTGAGTTATGATTCTGGAATCGGTAGTAATGACGTTTTAGTGACATTGAGAGGAGAAAATAAAAGTTCCAAGGGGAAGATTTCTACTGTAATTCTTTGTACGGCAGTCTGCACTGTTTGTTGTTTGCTTGGCTGCAAATACGCTTCAAAAGGTAGTGGGCTATTTGTGCACATAGGCTACCTGCCAACTCTCTTCCCCTCCCTGTGTCATATTTCATTGCTTGCTTTGCCATTGGGAAACAACTCCAGCCCTCCACAGCATTTAGTTAAAAACTAACTAAAGAAGAACACATGCTGAAAAACAAATTTGCCACCCTTCTGTGATCAGATATTCACAAATCCACCTTCCCGCTCCCACCGTTTTGCACAATGTGCCACGGGTTTTGCTTGGGGTGAGCCCTTTTGCATGTTTGGATCCATCTTGGCCTTCCCACTACAGAATTAAAAAGAAGCTTCCAGAAACTACAGAGAAATTGAAAGTGGCAAGAGCCAAAGTCAGAATGACAAAGCAAATCTGACTTAAGTTCAAGTTCTTTGACACAGACAACCCTAAGAGATAGCCACTGAGAGGCCATATGGCTCCGCTCTGCTGCAAGAGATACCCACAGCACTCAGTTCTAGTTGTGTTCTCTGCCTACACACCCAGCAAAGCCAGTAATGTATTACGGATAGCTTTGTTTCCACTCCTTCCCAGAGACAGTGCTCTTCCCTCCTTCCCTACCCCCAAACCCCCCCCAAGTATCAGTTTGAATGCAGTACTTTGCTTGGAGAAAATGAGTGCCATTTGCAGAGGTAAACTATTTGCAACCTGATTATTTGCAGGTTCTTAAGACTAAGTACTACACCCTGCTGCTCTGCTTTTCTACAACAGGCACAATGTTAGTGGAGTTTACAAGCAAATGCAAGCATTAATGAGAGAGATGGCTTCAAGGTCAAACACACTCAAGGCCCTCAAATTTGTCTCTTTTAAAAAATATATATAAATTTTTTTTTTAGGTCTTTATCCTTGTGCCCAAGCTGTAATCGCATAGCACCAACTACAGATACTTCAGGGACAGGAGCAAAGAGTTAGACCTCTGATAGGAAGGGGTTATCATCTAAAAGCTGCTGCTTACACATCCATGCCTGCTTTATTTTACTTCTCCCAGGTCTGACTTCTGCCACGCTACCCCTTTGCTCTCTGCCATATGAGATAAATTACTACGATAAACCAAACAACTCTGAAACAAAGATGAGCCTGGCAAATCCAGCCAGTGTAATTTACATGACTGATCTCTTCTAATTACAGGGATGGCCATACATCGCTTTCTTAACATAGCCCTTCAGGTGTCAGGGCCTCCTCACCTTTCCGAAATGAAGCAATTTTTCCATTTTTACAGCAGTCCTGGGCTGCAACACTTTGTAGCTCTGCCATACTTACAGAGCAGGTCTGACAGGATTTAGGCTCAAACTCCTGAAAAAAGCCTGCAATCAGAAGTGACCCCAGCGACCAGGTGAGCCTACCTAAAATGAACACAGTGCTCCATTTTAGTCCTAAGAGCAAGATTCTGGAAAGAGAGAGTGGAGAAGGCAGTAAATAAAGGTTATAGCTCCATATTATCCACCAAGTCCATTCCAACTATGGGTACCCCACTCCTTCCTCTCCAAGGGCATCCCATGACTCTTATGCATCAACTGCTTTTCCAACAAAATACTACCCACAGAACCAGAGAAAGTGTTCCTCTTCAGATCAACTCTTTTGCTCTGCTGCTTTGTTTCAAGACTCAGGAGCTAAATTACAATAGTGAAGTTAAAACCTTCTCTGCTAATAGCTTTGGAGATGTCCCTTAACAACTCTTAAGTGTTTGCAAAGAGGTGGTTTATCTTGAGCCATTCTTTCCCCTCCCCGTTTTCTTCCAGACAGCCTTTTGTTATGTTAAACCAAAATATTTAGACAGTAATTACTCCCAATTAACTAGGTCACCACGCAGTATTAAAAAATAAAACTCAGAAACTCTACCAAATCAATTCACAAACTAGAGGCCTCCTTATACAACCTCACTGTTGTGCAAACAAAAAGCAATATACAGGTAATTGGAATTTTTTTTAATTAATTGAATCAGATTTTTTTAGGAGAATGAAGAAACCTAAGCACTTAGGCTTACTCACTGTGGCCTTATGCAAAGCAGGGCATATGCACAATACCTAATCCTTCTGTTACCAATAAAATGTATGATTCTTTCAACATATAGAAGTTAAGCATCTTGGAAGGAAAGCAATACAAACAGGTCGTCCTAACATAGGAGACAAGGGACATCAGAGTCCTGACAAACATACTCTCAAAACAGGTAAAGGGAAAGTGAATTGGAGGAACCGTCTGCCATCCAGCAGCTGTAACCTTCCCACACACCTCTCCCACCAACCACCATACAAAGGAATGGTACTTTGGTTTGGTTTTCAATCCAGCAGCTTAAAGATCTGAACTCGGGAAAAAAAAAAATCCCTTATGATGTGCAGGTTGTCTAATGCATGTGGTGACACATACGAATTCCTCTCCAAAATAACATTTACAGTAGAAAGCAGCAACTTTAAAATTTTAACAATAAAAGTTACAGGAATCTGTTAGTTTCCATGTATTGTCAAATTCTTTGATGAAAGATCCAAAGGAAAAGATTCATTTAAAAAAAAAAAAAAAGATAGATTTTGGGGGGGTAAAAATTCAAATCAAACCACAGCTTAAGCTTAGAATCTAGCATGCAAATTTTGCTCTTACT